ATTAATGTATATAAAAGGCAAACATAATTTACAATATTGTTAATTGTAGGTCTTGTTTTCTATTTTTGCCCTTGGTCTAATACCACAATTTTTTTTTTTTTTTTTTTAATTTTTTGTTTATTGCAGTAACATTGGTTTATAACATTGTAAAAATTTCAGGTGTACATCATTGTACTTCCATTTCTGCATAGAAAAGCTAATTCTCTATTGCTTAGAGAACAAATGGAATCCACTATTTAGCATCATAATTAACTTTCCATAGCACTTACCAAATTTTGCTTGCTCTTCTCCAGCTTTTTCAACCTCTTCCAAAGCTAGCTCTACTTCTTGAGCTTTCATCTAAACATTAAACACACAAAATTTATTTCAATACGCCTTTACACTAGAATGTAAGCACCCAAAACAGGATTTTATTTGCTATCCCAAAACTTAGTGCTCAGAATGCCGGGCATACACAGACATTCAGTAAATATCTGTTGAATGAATAGATGATTTTCTTACTTAAGGCTATAATTTTTAGATTCCTAACAGTTTGAAACATCTTTGATTCTTCTTTTTCCCTCAAGTCTTATATCCAGTATTGCCACTTTTCTCTTTGTAATGTTTTCCACTATCCCTTTTTTTCTATTCTAATTGTGATTATTCTAGTCCATAATTTTTTGTCTAACCTCCTTTATAACATTATGGCTAAACAGCTTTAATTTCCTTCAATTTGTCCTATTTAGCCTAGTTTACCTTCCATAGTTTAGTTTACCATACCTAGTTTACCCTTCCCAAGGCATATTTTTGTATCTATCAAGCGTGGCTCAAAAACTTGTAATGGCTCCTCATTGCTGACAGCGTAAAATATACCTTTAAGGCCTTTGACAGCCTATCTCAAACTTCACCCAACATTTGTTTCCTCTACAACCTGCTACAAACTTTCTGCATTTGTCTCCTCAAATGTAAAGAATACACATTTTCTATTTCCAGTTTTTATTTATGGTAACCTCCAGCTCTAGAATCTCCTTAACATTTTACCACTGCTTTCCACTTACCTAAAACTACCCATCAGTCTTTAACCTTTATGAGGTCTTCTCACATCTAAATCTCTTCCCCTCCTAATAAATCCCTATAGTAATCGTCTGCATTTTTCACTTCTACCTCAGGATTATGTTAACTTAATTAACATAGGACCTCCTTATGTTATTTTTAAACATATCCATCTGTTTCCCTCACATATTCTTTTAGGAACTTTAGAGCAGAAACTAGCCATGTTTTGCACACTAAAATTCTCAATCCACATTTGAAAATACCTCATTTTTTAGGGGTGATTTAGATATTACAAAGTACTTTTATAGAGATTAACTTACTTAAGAACAGATTCTTAAACCTTCTCTAATAGTCAAAGCTGTTATTAAAACCTACTGCATACAAACCTTCATTAGTGACTGAGTAATTCTGAAAAGGTGTATCACATTTTCTTGACTTTCTTTTTTTAGCTCATTTACTTCCACCTAAGTAAACAGAAAAACAACTATTATATATTTATAACACTTAAGCAAAATAGAAGAACTCTTCCAGTTGTACCACTCAGTGATTAAAGGGACAACTTGGATGAATCATAGTTGTATGTATATATCTACATATTACTTATCAATTAAGCACCTTGGATAAGGAAATCAATAAATTATCTGCCAATTCTTCTTGACGAGGCAGGTCATCTGGATCAACTTTTATTATTTCTTTCCAGTTTATATTAGGTGGCATCTTGAATTCTTTCACTGTGCTTTACCTGCGGTAACAAGATAGGTGGGTATTAGCATTTTCAAGGTAAACAGCATTAATGTTTTCACAGCAATTTACAGTTTTTACACATTACATTGTTCTAACCCTCTATGGTGTCAGCAAAGAGTTATGCCTCCTTAACTGTATAACAGATAAGTGGGTAAAATAACCTTGATCACAAGTATAGCAGTTGGCACAAACCATCAGATATTGTATCGGCTAAGTAAACTACGACAGCTTCTTTGCTAAAACCAATCTTGGTCAGAACTAAGATTCTGAGTCCCCTCCTCCATGCCCCCTTACCACCAAGGCACGCGAACATCTAATGGTGCCAACCGCGGAGGTGCTCGGCAGGCTGAAACTGACCCCTGATTCGGAGAAGCAGGAACTGGGCGTAAAAAAGTGAGGAAATAAACGATTGAAATGAGTGCAATTGGGCCGGGGAAACCAGGGCTGAAGCGAGGAGAAGGCAGATGGATTGCTGACCAAAAAGGCTAAGAGGCGGGGAAGCGGGGCTTTGTTGCAGATGGGCCCTGAGGCTTAAAGAACCTGCGTAAGAAGACAGCCGCTGCTCATGCTCACTAGGATCCAGGCACCTAAGCCAAACCTGGCAACCAGAGGCGGCCCTTCATCTACCGCACCCACCAAGCCCGGCCCCGCCGCCACGCCTGACCGCTCCCCAGCGCAGTTCCAGCCCGACACTGGCTCCCGCCAACTGGTCCTGAGCAAGGAATAGCGGCGGCGGCTGCTAGGCGACACCATTCCCCACCCAGCCAAGGCTGGAACAAGGCCCCCGGATGCCAGGGGAGCCTACATTTCACGACTATGGGTGATGCTTTACGTTTAGATTCCCCAGCGGGGTTCCCGGACTCTGTGAAAACGACAAGGAGAAGTCTTGGGGATGAGGACTCCAAATCCCAGAGTGCAGTTCTGCTTGGAGGCTTGTGCATCCTGGGAACTGAAGTCAATGAGAAGTGGAGGTAGGCCGTTCCCGGCGTGCAATGCGAGAGGCTGCGACCGTACCGGGGTGGCGGGGGAACGAGCCGGCGGCGGGAGGCGCGGTGGCTGAGGCGCGTCTGCTGTGAGTGAGGTGGACCATGAGTGTGCCTGCGGTGGCGTCGTTCTCTGGACCGCTCTTCCTGAGGTTTCCCTGAGCCGTCCTCTCGTGGAACCGCTCCCAGGTGAGGTCGAGCTGTCGGTCAGCGGCGGGGGAGGAGTTGAGGGGAGCGGTCCTGATTTGGAGACGCTCCCGCCATCGGGGCGGAAGGGCCTGGCCCGAGAATGGAGAGGTGGGAAGACCCCGCCTTCTGCTTGGGCCTTTGCAAGCGACGCCCCGGGGGGTGTCCTCTGTAAGAAGACAGAAAAGTTTTACCCTTCTTTGGTATCAGAACCTGTCTCTGTACAGTGGAGTGGGGGCCGCGCGGCCGAGATCATAGTTTGGGGGCAAGTGAGGAATTGAGAGGAGGGCAGTGCATCCTCCGACCCCGCCCGCCTTGCCTGTAGCACCATCACCGTCGCGGGTGGAAGGACTTGAAGGTTGAGGAGCTGTGTGTCTAGAGTGAAGGCTCTAGAGAGGAGAGGTTAGAACTTGTCGGGGCCACTGCTGGGGGTGGAGAGAGAAGGGGCTTCAGTACCCACCAGTCCTGCAGCTGTCACTTGCTTGGTTACCGAGGGTGCTCTTCTATGAAAGCGCCTTCTCAGGTGTTTACAGCTCTTATTTGTGCAAGTTTTGCTTATCCCACTGCTCTCATTCTGGAGTATGATACGCCGCTAGGTAACTTAAGCTGTAGACTTGAAATCTAAATGACATTTTCAACTGTTTGGACCAGTGCCTCTCATCTTTATCTTTTTTTTTTTTTTTTACTATAATTGATAATAAATTTTCCTTTTGAAAATAAATACTAGATGTTTTTCCAAACCACATGTTTGGGTAACAGCTCAGTAGGAATAGCTCAATAGAAAATAAAAACAGGTACTGATGTTGTGAGATATATTTAAAGACATTCATCAGATTTGTAGGAGTGATAATTTTGTCTAATCATTACTGAAAGATAATATGCCCAGTACTGTTCATTATCGTTTTTTTTAAGCATGGTGTAATTATATCCCCAGAACTTAATCATATGATTGGAAGTTTGTACCGTTTTTCCGTTTGTTTTTTTTTTATTCTTTTTGGTGAGGAAGATTGGTCCTGAGCTAACATCTGTTGCCATTGTTCCTCTTTTTGCTTGAGGAAGATTGTCCCTGAGCAAACATCTGTGACAATCTTTCTCTATTTTGTATGTGGGACGCCGCCACAACATGGCTTGATGAGTGGTGTGTAGGTCCAAACCCAGGAACCCTGGGCTGCCGAAGTGGAGTGTGAGAACTTAATCACTATGCAACTGGGCTGGCCTATGGAAGTTTGTGCCTTTTGACCAATAAGTTCTTTGTTTCTGTGAGCTTGGTTTTTTTAGATTACACATATAAGTGAGATCATACAGTATTTTCTTTCTCTGTTGACTTATTTCACTTAGCGTAATGCCCTCAAGGTCCACCCATGTTGTGGAAAATGGCAAGATTTCCTTTTTTATGACTAGCATTCCATTGTGTATATATACCACGTTTTCTTTATTTGTTTCTCCTCTGGTGGACACTTAGGTTGTTTCCATGGCTTGGCTAGTGTAAATAATGCTGCAATAAATATGGAGGTGCAGATATCTCTTCCGGATAGTGATGTTGTTTCCTCGGCTGTATACACGGAAGTGGAGTTGCTGGATAATATGGTAGTTCTGTTTTTAATTTTTTGAGAAACCTCTGTACTATTTTCCATAGTCGGTCTACCAACTTACATTCCCACCAGCAGTGCACAAGGGTTCCCTTTTCTCCACATCCTTGCCAAGACCTGTCATCTCTTGTCTTTTTGAAGACAGCCATTCTAACAGGTGTGAGGTGACATCTCATTGTGGTTTTGATTTGCATTTTTCTGATGATTAGTTGCTCATGATGTTGAGCACCTTTTCATGTACCTGTTGGCCTGTGTGTCTTCTTTGGAAGAAGTTCCTCTACCGACTTTTTAATAAGATTGTTTTTTTGCTATTAAGCTGTATGAGTTCTTTATATATTTTGGATATTAATCCCTTAACAAGTATATTTTTGCAAATGCTTTTTCCCTTTCCATAAGTTGTCTTTTCATTTTGTTGGATTTCTTTTGCTGTGCAGAAACTTTTTAGTTTGGTGTAGTCAAGACTGATGTCAAGGAGCTTACTGCCTATGTTTTCTTCTAGGAGTTTTATGGTTTCAGGTCTTACATTCAAGTCTTTAATCCATTTTGAGTTGATTTTTGTGAGTAGTGTAAGATAGGGTCCAATTTCATTCTTTTGCATATGGCTCTTCAGTTTTCCCAACACCATTTATTAAAGAGACTATCCTTTCCCTGTTGTATATTCTTGGTTCCTTTGTTTGTTTCTAGGCTCTGTCTTCTGTTCCATTGTTCTATGTGTTTGTTTTTATGCCAGTACTATACTATTTTGATTACTACAGCTTTGTCATTATTTCATTTGCTCTTCATAACAATACAATGAAATAGGTGCTAATAATGTCCTCATTTTCCAGTGAAGTTAACAAACTGAGGCTTGGAGAGGTTAAATACTCTACTCAAGCTTAAAGAGTGTGTTTGAACACGGATCTTCCTGGCTAGAGGCCATGTTCTTAACTGCTGTACTGCCGCCTCAGGCATGCAGGGCACCAGTATTTGTAAAGTGCTTGTTCTTCGGTCTTGCTATGTATATTAAATATTATCATATTCTACGGTAAAGTTGCAGGATACAAAATCAACATACAAAAATCAGTTGCATTTCTATACACTAACAACGAAGTAGCAGAAAGAGAAATTAAGAATACAGTCCCATTTACAATTGCAACAAAATGAATAAAATACCTAGGAATAGATTTAACCAAAGAGGTGAAAGATCTGTACACCAAAAATTATAAAACATTGCTGAAAGAAATTGGAGAAGACACAAATGGAAAGATATTCCGTGCTCTTGGATTGGAAGAATTAACATAGTTAAGATGTCCATACTTCCTAAAGCAATCTATAGATTCAACGCAATCCCTATCAAAGTTCCAACAACATTTTTCACAGAAATAGAACAAAGAATCCTAAAATTTATATGGAACAACAAAAGACCCCAAATAACTAAAGGAATCCTGAGAAAAAAGAACAAAGCTGGAGGTATCACACTCCCTGATTTCAAAATATACTACAAAGCTATAGTAACCAAAACAGCATGGTACTGGCACAAAAACAGACACACAGATCAATGGAATAGAATTGAAAGCCCAGAAATAAACCCACACATCTGTGGACAGCTAATCTTCGACAAAGGAGCCAAAAACATACAATGGAGAAAAGAAAGTCTCTTCAACAAATGTGTTGGGAAAACGGGATAGCCAAATGCAAAAAAATGAAAGTAGACCATTACCTTACACCATACACAAAAATTAACTCCAAATGGATTAAAGACTTGAATGTAAGACCTGAAACTATGAAACTTCTAGAAGAAAACATAGGAAACACGCTCTTGGACATTGGTCTTAGCAACATATTTTCAAGCACCATGTCTGACCAGGCAAGAGAAACTATAGAAAAAATAAACAAATGGGACTACATCAAACTAAAAAGCTTCTGCACAGCAAAAGAAACCATCAACAAAACGAAAAGACAACCTAACAATTGGGAGAAGATATTTGCAAACCATACATCAGATAAGGGCTTAATCTCCAAAATATATAAAGAACTCAAGCATCTCAACAACAAAAAAACTAACAACCTGATTAAAAAATGGGCAAAAGACCTGAACAGACATTTCTCCAAAGAAGATATACAGATGGCCAACAGACACATGAAAAGATGTTCAACATCATTAACTATCAGGGAAATGCAAATCAAAACTACAATGAGATATCACCTCACGCCCGTCAGAATGGCTATAATTAACAAGACAGGAAACAAGAAGTGTTGGAGAGGATGTGGAGAGAAGGGAACTCTCAGACAGTGCTGGTGGGAGTGCAAACTGGTGCAGCCACTATGGAAAACAGTATGGAGATTCCTGAAAAAATTAAGGATAGAACTCCCATATGATCCAGCGATTCCACTGCTGGGTATTTATCTAAAGAACTTGAAAACACCGATTCATAAAGATACATGCACCCCTGTGTTCATTGCAGCATTATTCACAATAGCTGACTTGGAAGCAACCTCAGTGCCCATCAAGGGATGAATGGATAAAGAGGATGTGGGATGTGGTATATATACACAATGGAATACTACTCAGCCATAAGAAACGATGAAATCCAGCCATTTGTGACAACATGGATGGACATTGAGGGTGTTATGCAAAGTGAAGTAAGTCAGAGGGAGAAGGTCAAATACCGTATGATCTCACTCATTAAGTAGTAGATGGTAACAAATAAACACATGGAGACAGAGATTGGATTGGTCGTTAGCAGAGGGCAAGGGGGGGAGGGAGGAGGGCAAAAGGGATAATTAGTCACATGTGTGATAATGGATTGTGATTAGTATTTCGGTGGTGAACATGAGAACATGATGTAATCCACGCAGAAATGGAGTTATAATGATGTACACCTGAAATTTATACAATGTTATAAACCAATGTTACTGCCATAAACAAAAAATTAAAAATAGAACTACCATAAAAAATAAATAAATATTATCATATTCTAATTATATAATTTTGTTTGCTCAAGAATTTGAATTAAATATTCTTCATATTCAGTGTTTTTAATTCATAATTTAGCAGGGGAAGGTAGAGATGAAATCTAATGTTTTTTGAGCACATATTGCATCATATTCTATGCTTAAAACTGTATTTTCGTGTTAGGAATCTGTTCTTGTTACTGCAGCACCTTATTTTTCTTCTTTTTTTATTCATTGTAACTATTATTTTCTATTTATTCACTTACTAGTTTTGTTTTCTCTGTATTGGTCTTTTCTACCCTTACTTCCTTCACTCTCTTGTTCACATTTGCATTCCCAGCAACTCAAGGTACTTGGCCTAATGGTAAATTTTATTCTCATTTTTCAGAAGTGAAAACAAGTTCAGAGAAGCTAAGTAATTTCCTAATAATTATGAAGCTGAGATTGTAACCCAGATCTCTATTGCAGTCTTGATTAAAT